GTTAAATTGCAAATATTATTGAAGGAAGACGTTATTCAATTTTCTGAAATATTGATCCGAAGAGATCATCAGTGGTTCCTTCTCTTGTCCTATAATTCGGCGGTAGAATTTGATCCTTTCAAATGTGTAGAAGCAAATTGGAGATTTGCATTTGGAATTTTGGTAGGCTAAGGCAAAGCTGCAAAAGAAGACCTTCTCTGTCTATTCATTCATTTACAGTATCTAGATTTTAAGAAAAAAAAACAGAGTTCATCTTAACTATATGTTGTTTTTGTTTTCTTTCGTAGAATTCTTTTTATTTATTCAGCTTGTTAATTGAAAATTGATTCAGTTTTCAAGATAATAATAATTAAAAAAAAAAGACAGGGACAGTTGGGTTGACAAATGACAACAATTGACAGCATATGCACGACGTAGTGCTAGTGATCCCTTGACCCACGTTATAAAGCTGCCGCCCCATAAAAATTTAAACCTTTGATTCCTGCTAGCATGATTTAGTTGAAGGAAATTTTGCACAGCAAGGAAAAAATCAAGTGGAAGTGAAGAACAAAAGATCAACTAATGGGTCTAAATATCAATGCTTGTACATTATCAGCAACAGTAGAAGCATTTTCATCATCTCCATGCTGGTACATAACTTGGGCAGTTCTCGCAAGATTCAAGGATGCCTTGATGCTTGATAGAGGCAATTCAGTAGTTGGAGCCACCAATTCATTGTTGAGCTCTAACCATGAACTGCTAATGAGATTCCTTATGTGTTCTCTTGCTTCCTTTTCATTAGAAAAACCCTTCTCCTTCGCATAACATTCTATGCTTGATGCTACATCTCCTCTTTCTTGTTCCTCCTGGAAATAAAGTAAGAAATTCAAGTAATAAACTTTACATTTTTTGGATTAGGCTTTTTATCCTGACATTTTCCTGGAACTTTTTAGTTACATACCTCTGCAGTTCCTAAATCATCCCAGAGTCTTAGAATTTGTCCTGAGACAGAGAAGAGGTTGGGGTATGGTTCCATCATTGCTGCTGTTTCATTTGTAACATTTTGTCCTGTGAGAAAAAAAGCATGGACCAATGCCATGTATGTGCCTCCTGTGGTCACCCCATTAGCTAGGTATTCCTCTAGAGCAGGTACATATCCCTTGTTGAACCATTTTGCTTCCACTAGATAAGCTTCAATGAGGTCTATCCACTGCAAGAACAACAAATTTTCTCTCATTTTCTCTGGTAAATGATGGATTTGAAAAAGGAAAAAGATAAGGAAATCTGTAGAAATTACTGTTCTCTTCAGGTATGGGACAGTGTTCCAGCCTTGTTCTTTGAGGACTCTGTAGCCAATATCATTGGTAGTGTTGTACAACGCCATGTAACATATCTTCATGTATTCTGGGAGCTGCTCCATTGCATTAAGATCCCATCTGTAATCCAACAAGACATGTTCAGTTTGTGTTTCTAAGGATAATTGCTGTTTAATAAGGCATTTAAGAACAGAATGGATCTAATTAATAACTAACCTTCGAATCGCGTCGGTGAACAGAATAAGGTCATCTAGAGAACCATAACTGTCGAAGACATCATCAAGAACTTGTAAAATCGCAATCGTTTTCGTCAGCTCGATTCGGCAACTTGAATGATATGGTTCTGGAAATACTCCTACTGTCCATAGGAAGCACTCCGATGGTCCATCTCTAGCAAAACTCAACTTATCAACCAGGCCTAATTGTTTCCACCACCTGAAACAAAACAATCAAAATAAAAACATGCGATTTTAGTCCTTATCGCGATGGATTACAATCATGCTGAAGCAGCATATGGGCTAGAACAATTTAATCACCTGATTATCTCAGTCAACTCAGTGTTGTGCTGTTGCTGAACCATATTAAAATCTAAACTTGCTAGTTGAAAAAGATCTGGATTAAAGTTGCTTTCTCTGCTATAACAGTTGATGTAGTTTCTAGCTTCCAGCCTTGCCATCCTCAAATGCCTTGGAAGTTTCAGGGCTTGAGCTACATAGTTTCTTGAGTTTGAATTCATAAAAGGCATTAGTTGTTGCAGACTTGTCCTGGTGAAGTTCATGGCTTGCAATAACATTTCTTCATTCTTTGTGGCCAAATATGATGCCTCATGTAAACTTAACATGCCCCATCTGTCTTCAGCCAGGAATTCTATCAGTTTCCCTTCCCTGCTGATAAATTTTTGAAAAACATCTGCAAATGCAGAATAAGATATTAGTGTCTTAAGGTAAATTAAATTAAATTTCAAACGAGAAAAAACAAGAGATTGTTGTTTTACCTGCATTGGCAGGCTTGCCATTATGTCTCAACAACCTGAAACGAAGAGCAGTGACAAAGAGATCTTCTCTTGAATTCCAATCAGAAAACCTTTCAAGTTGTGTGTCAATTTCTTCTTCAAAATGATGCGAAATGCCTAGCCGTTGAATTGTATCGATTAAATTCAAAGTAGAAACTGGGTCAGAAGGTTTTCTCAACACCATTTGGGTGCTTTCAACTAGTTCTTCTACGGTTTTGGTGCAATACTTTCTATCAGCATGACTAGGCAATAATACCTGCAAAAAAAAAAAAAACACCAATTAATCCAAACTTTTTTTCCCTAAATATTAACAAGTAATAAAGTATCCTCAAGTTAATTTTTACATTAACTGAGATTAAATTTATTATTTTATAAGTTAAATTAGTGTCAAAACATGTCTAACTTTTGATTGATCACGTAGATGTCTTTTTAGGCCAAACTGGCTAAAACTCAATACTATTATTGATAATTATAGCTAATTATTTTTAGATAACATGAGCTGAACTTTAATTTTGATCAAATCAGGATAACTCAGTACTACATTCTTGGTAGTCAGTTAATCCAAACTGTAACAAAAGAGAAGAGACCGGAGAATAATTGATGAAATGATACATACTGTGTTATTTAAGTGGATGGATTTCAGCAAGGAGTCTGTACTTGTAAGTGGTTTAGACAAAGGTTTTGACAATGGCGACGAAGAAGGTGATGGTGATGGCGATGACGATAATTGGCAAGTGCAAGGCTGTGAATGAGCTCCCTTTGGGGCTCCAAGTTGATCCGTTGGCCAAGCTGGCCACCGCAAAAATTTGGAAATGCTCCTAATTCCGGCCATGTGTACGTATTGTTTGATAGCTAGCTTCTGGTATTCCAATATTGGTTTTGGATACGTAGTGATTTCGTTACGATGCATCTATATAGATTTATCGACCAGTTACTTGCTTTGCCAAATGAATAGCACGTGCGTCTAATATTACAATATTTGGCAGCCACTTTGGACCAAAAAATAAAAAAACAAAAATAAAATAAAATAGCACGTGTTTTTCATAAAAAGTGTTTGTTTCACAAAACAAATCAATTTTCTACTGTTATTTTCGAAAACCAAAATGAAAACGAAAACAATACCTATCTATCCCTAATTATTATTATTTTACGTAGTGAATTTCGAAGTCAATGGTTGTCTTGTATAGCTAAACACAAGAAATAGCAAACTCCAATGGCCATGGCCATGTTTGTTCAAGATTTCACTCTAAGCAGTCATAAAATTGTGGATTGAATCCAGAAAGAGTTTTGAGGAACACAAGAATAAACATCAGCAACTTGCACAAAAATCAATTTCCAAGAACTAGCAGCCTCCGTTTTATATAATCGAAATTGTTCATCATCATATAAAACAAAATACAAACATTTTCTTACCAAGTTTATTACGCATAGCCTGCAAAAACATTGTACGATAAACTAGCTCCATCGAAGTTCCAAAGATGCCAAGGTGTTGAAATCTTCAATGATATTATTAAGTTCTTTTATATTTCAGCTCTTCAAAAGATGAAAATGAAATCCACTGAAACAATAAAGAAAACAACAAAGTTCACCCACTGTCATTTTTAGTGAACTAAATCAGCATCTTCCAAACCAATTGTAGCAATGCATAATCAATTAATTTCGAGTAAAACATGAACAATCCCAAGTCCAACCAATCAATGCAGTTAGGATACAATTTGAAACTTTATCAGCATCAAGAACATTTAGCTTGCCAAAAAGGGCCAGAATTTGTACAGCACTAAGGGTGTGCAGAATATATATGGAGGTCATGTCCAACATTACCAGCAAACCCACCTGCCAAAAAAGATTATCACCAACCTTACCATGACCCATTTGAATCCACAACATCAAGCTTTCCTAGAAGATCAAGAGTGGTCAATCCCCGATATGCCCCATTCATCGAAAGATGCTCCGAAACCACCCGATTCGAAACTATCTTTTCTCTTTAGTTACATAATCAACCAAAAAAAATCATAACAGCCAGGTTCAATATCTCAAATCACATAGTTAAAATGTAAAGTATGGAAATGCAGAAGTGCTGAATGTTCAATGAAAAACTCACCTTTTCAACTGATACAAAACATTTAACATGTTTATCAACAGCAAGCTCCCCCATCTGCCATCATACTACATTGTAAATTTGAATTCTTTTCAATTGCATATACTAAAAGAATGAAAATTTACTACAAAACAAACCAAAATAACCCTCAAGTTCTCCACATACCACTTAATTGAAACTTGGGTTTTTTCAATTTTCTTCGCATTCATCAAGAAGAAACTTCTTCACATCAGTAAAAACTAGATGACACATATATTAAACTAAACATGTACGATAAATTTGCATCAAGTTTCAAACTTTAAACATCACACCAAGCTCCATTTGTCTACTTTTTTATGCTAAAAGTATTCAATGAGTTGCTTAAACAACATAAACAAGCCAAACCCAGAAACCAAAAGCAGATTAAAACAGAATCAGCATGATTGTAAAGACAAAAACAATGAATTTCAAGAGAGGTAAAAGGTGGTTATCAGGTTCTTGGTCTGTTTTTGAGATCTTAAAGACAAGAACTAATGTTGTTATGATCCTCTGTAACAAACTTGTTCAATGTGAAAGCAATCAAAGTTTCAATCCCAGAATTCTTGGATTTCTTGGCTGTTCAGACTTCAGACTTCATAGACCTCTGTTTTGCAGTTTTCCAAGTCGTGGAATTTGATGCATCACATCTTCTCTTACAAGAGTCACTCACTTCCTTGAGGACAGAGTAATTTTTACCGTCCCTTTCTTTCTCTTTCTCATTGGGTATCGATACAACCAGGAAACAATTAATGGATTTGGCATTTCTTGTTGCCTTTTTCTTACGTTCACATTGATGCTTATTAGCTGTTTATGTTTTTGGATTATCTATCATGATTTTTTCATCAAAATGTGCAATTTCCATGTTTAACTGAATACGTTTAGGATCCATTACAAGGGTTCACTTGTTCTAATGACTAAAAACAATATCAAATTGATCTAATGATTCAAGTTTTTGCAGCTTTCCTTCTCATAAGATAATTTCACAATTTTTTTAAAAATATAATTTGTATAAAAGCTTAGACAAAGAATTCTATTAGAAACATTAAATCAGATATTCTGAGAAATATCGTTTGATATCACAAAACGTGTTTTTCATAAAACGTGTTTGCTTCGGAGGAAAAAAAAAAGAAAAGAAAAGAAAAAAGAAGCAGCAAAACAAATCAATTTTCTATTTTTATTTTCAAAAACCAAAATGAAAACGAAAACAATACCTATCTATCCCTAATTATTATTATTTTACGTAGTGAATTTCAAAGTCAATGGTTGTCTTGTATAGCTAAACACAAGAAATAGCGAACTCCAATGGCCATGGCCATGTTTGTTCAAGATTTCACTCTAAGCAGTCATAAAATTGTGGATTGAATTCAGAAAGAGTTTTGAGGAACACAAGAATAAACATCAGCAACTTGCACAAAAATCAATTTCCAAGTACTAGCAGCCTCCATTTTATATAATCGAAATTGTTCCATCATCATACAAAACAAAATACAAACATTTTCTTGCCAAGTTTATTACGCATAGCCTGCAAAAACATTGTACGATAAACTAGTTCCATCGAAGTTCCAAAGATGCCTAGATGTTGAAATCTTCAATGGACTTCAGCCTCCACTTTGGAGTTCGTTTTGGTGTTGATCAGCAAAATTATTATCTGCCAAAAAAATCCTACGTACAACATCAGCAGGCAAAGCATAAGCTGGATCGATGGCTTTCAATCCCGGATATTCAAGAGAAATGTAGTTTTGAAGGAGACAATCAGCTCTTCAAAAGATGAATATGAAATCCACCGAAACAATAAAGAAAACAACAAAGTTCAACAGTAAAACATCTTCCAAACCACTGTCATTTTTAGTGAACTAAATCAGCATCTTCCAAACCAATTGTAGTTGTTATGACTAAAAATTTTCTGGTAGCGATGCATAATCAATTAATTTCGAGTAAAACATGAACAATCTCAAGTCCAACCAATCAATGCAGTTAGAATACAGTTTGAAACTTTATCGGCATCAAGAACATTTAGCTTGCCAAAAAGGGCCAGAATTTGTACAGCACTAAGGGTGTGCAGAATATGGAGATCATGTCCAACGTTACCAGCAAACCCACTTGCCAAAAAAGATTATCACCAACCTTACCATGACCCATTTGAATCCACAACATCAAGCTTTCCTAGAAGATCAAGAGTGGTCAATCCCCGATATGCCCCATTCATCGAAAGATGCTCCGAAACCACCCGATTCGAAACTATCTTTTCTCTTTAGTTACATAATCAACCAAAAAAAAATCATAACAGCCAGGTTCAATAGCTCAAATCACATAGTTAAAATGTGAAGTATGGAAATGCAGAAGTGCTGAATGTTCAATGAAAAACTCACCTTTTCAACTGATACAAAACATTTAACATGTTTATCAACAGCAAGCTCCCCCATCTGCCATCATACTACATTGTAAATTTGAATTCTTTTCAATTGCATATACTAAAAGAATGAAAATTTACTACAAAACAAACCAAAATAACCCTCAAGTTCTCCACATACCACTTAATTGAAACTTGGGTTTTTTCAATTTTCTTCGCATTCATCAAGAAGAAACTTCTTCACATCAGTAAAAACTAGATGACACATATGTTAAACTAAACATGTACGATAAATTTGCATCAAGTTTCAAACTTTAAACATCACACCAAGCTCCATTTGTCTACTTTTTTATGCTAAAAGTATTCAATGAGTTGCTTAAACAACATAAACAAGCCAAACCCAGAAACCAAAAGCAGATTAAAACAGAATCAGCATGATTGTAAAGACAAAAACAATGAATTTCAAGAGAGGTAAAAGGTGGTTATCAGGTTCTTGGTCTGTTTTTGAGATCTTAAAGACAAGAACTAATGTTGTTATGATCCTCTGTAACAAACTTGTTCAATGTGAAAGCAATCAAAGTTTCAATCCCAGAATTCTTGGATTTCTTGGCTGTTCAGACTTCAGACTTCATAGACCAGCAACCCCAGGACTTTCTTTTGCGTTTCTCTTTGGGTCTCGGTTTTCTTGCTGAATCGTGGGCTGAGCCTTGACAGATGGCTTATTTCGGGCTTTATTTTGAATTGGGTTTAGGCCTGTAACTGTTATCTCCTAATAATTCAAGGGTAAAAAATATGTTTAACTAAGCTTTCTATGGTGATGATAATATTGCTTATTTTAACTATTAATTCAGCTGTATTCATGACTTTTATTACCTTAATCAAGTGAGGTGAAGCCATCATTTTGTTAGCAAATTCCCCTAATATGTTGTAGTTAATCTTTTTATATTCCTATTTTTTCTAATTTGGAATCTCAAAATCGATAATTTAGAATCATTTATTTTTCTAAGCGTATCAAGTTGACGTGAAAACTATGCTTTTAAGAAAATATATTCTCGATTAATGCATGACGTTGACACAAAAATATATGATCGAGTCCATAATTGTACTATAAAACAGGATGATTTTGTTAAATTGCAAATATTATTGAAAGAAGACCTGATTCAATTTTCTGAAATATTCATACGAAGAGATCATCAGGTTCCTTCTCTTGTCCTATAATTTGGCAGTAGAATTTGATCCTTTCAAATGTATAGAAGCAAATTGGAGATTTGCATCTGGAATTTTAGTGGGCTAAGGCTAAGCTACGAAAGAAGACCATTTCTTTCTATTCATTCATTTCCAGAGTCTAGATTTTAAGGAAAAAACAGAGTTCATAGCAATGACAAAAAAATTAAATTACCATTCATAAATTGTTCAAACTCTCTTTTTTAACTGTTCATATCATGGGTTTTTTTTTTTTTTTTCCATACAAAGGCACTTCTATTTTACTTTTAATTTGCCACTCGAAAGACATGGGATATTTACTGTTATAAACTGTTCAAACTCTCTTTTTTTAACTTTTTATATCATGGTTTTTTTTTTCTTTTTAATCCAGTTTTTGGGTTTTGTTTGCTATATTATTTTATTTTTATTTTTTTTGCTTTGCTTACAAAGGCCCTTCTATTTTACTTTTAATTTTTATCATGCCAATTAGCAGATTTGTAAAATTCTATATTTGGCCTTGATTGATTTACGTTTAATTTGTTTCTTTAGTTTTTTTCGTCATTTTCTTTGTCAAATCCTTTACTTTAGATAGAGCATCTAACACTCATGTCATTCATTGGCTTTTTCCTCTTTATTTTTCATAGAAGAGCAATTGCAATTCAAGAATAAATTATAAATTAGTCCTTGTTTTTTCCACTTTGAAATTATTAGTTTCTATAATTTCAAAAACTGATTATTTAGTTTTATTTGCTATTTTTCAATTTATTTTTATTTTTTTCTTTAACGTATAGAAAAGGAATAAAATAGAAGTGAAAATATGAAAAGATTTATAAGAAGAAAAGATATTTTACAATTAAGAAAAATTGTTGTAGTCAACATTGGGTAAAAGAATTAAATAATTAATTTTTTAAATTAAAAACACTAACTAATTAATTTCTCGAAACAAAAAAGACTAACTTATAATTTACTTTGCAATTCAAGGAACTCCTTCATCATTAGTTTCTATAATTTCAAAAACTGATTATTTAGTTTTAGTTGCTATTTTTTAATTTACTTTTATTTTTTTCTTTAACATATAGAAAAGGAATAAAAAAGAAGTGAAAATATGAAAAGATTGATAAGAAAAAAAGATATTTTACAATTAAGAAAAATTGCCATAGTCAACACCGATTAAAAGAATTAAATAATTAATTTTTTAAATTAAAAACACTAACTAATTAATTTCTCGAAACAAAAAAAACTAATTTATAATTTACTTTACAATTCAAGTAACTCCTTCATCATTGTTTTCAGCTAATTTCTTTCATATAAGTATCCTAACCAATATAAAATGAGTGCATTAAAAAGAATTGTGTTAAATATAAGAAACTAAACGATTTTATAAATATGATATGATGATTTTATTTTTGTGCCCAAAGTTGTAGTCTAGAGACACTTTTATACTTTCTTTAAAAAAATTAATTATTTTTTTTAATTGCAAGTTGATTGTGAATATACACAAAAAACACTTAATATTTACTTTTCTTTTAAATGAATATTTTGAAATCAATTCCTCTAAAATAAATTTAAAAACAATACCCGATGATACCATAGTTTTTAAATAGAGTTTTTTTATTCTAATATTATTTATTATTTTGAGTATATATATATATGATGATTTTATTTTTATGTCTAAAGTAGTAGTCTGGATAATCTTTTATGCTTTCTTTAAAAATTAACATACTTTTAAAACTTAATATTCTCATCAATATTATAAAAATTTATTTTAAATCTTAAAAGTTTTAAGAAGTTTTCAAAAAAATTAATCGTTGTTTTATTTTCTCAATACAATCTTATAAAATAAATAATTAATTTATACATTTTTTTTTAGGATTTTTGTTAAATTGCAAATATTATTGAAAGAAGACTTTATTCAATTTTCTGAAATATTGATCCGAAAAGATCATCAGTGGTTCCTTCTCTTGTCCTATAATTTGGCAGTAGAATTTGATCCTTTCAAATGTGTAGAAGCAAACTGGAGATTTGCATTTGGAATTTTAGTAGGCTAAGGCATAGCTGCAAAAGAAGACCTTCTCTGTCTATTCATTCATTTACAGTATCTAGATTTTAAGACAAAAAACAGAGTTCATCTTAACTCTATGGTGTTTTTGTTTTCTTCTCGTAGAATTCTTTTTATTTATTCAGTTTGTTAATTGAAAATTGATTCAGTTTTCCAGATAATAATAATAATTAAAAAAAAGAAGAAGAAGACAGGGACAGTTGGGTTGACAAATGACAACAAGTGGCAGCATATGTACGACGTAGTACTGATGATCCCTGACCCACTTTACAAAGGCTGCCGCCCCCATCAAAATTTAAACCTTTGATTCCTGCTAGCATGATTTAGTTGACGGAAATTTTGCACAGCAAGGCAAAAATCAAGTGGAAATGGAGAACAAAAGATCAGCTAATGGGTCTAAAGATCAATGCTTGTACATTATCAGCAACAGTAGAAGCATTTTCATCATCTCCATGCTGGTACATAACTTGGGCAGTTCTCGCAAGATTCAAGGATGCCTGGATGATTGATAGAGGCAATTCAGTCGTTGGAGCCACCAATTCACTGTTGAGCTCTAACCATGAACTGCTAATGAGATTCCTTATGTGTTCTCTTGCTTCTTTTTCACTAGAAAAACCTTTCTCCTTCGCATAACATTCTATGCTTGATGCTACATCTCCTCTTTCTTGTTCCTCCTGGAAATAAAGTAAGAAATTCAAGTAATAAAGTTGACATTTTTTGGATTAGGCTATATATCCTGACATTTTCCTGGAACTTTTTAGTTACATACCTCTGCAGTTCCTAAATCATCCCAGAGTCTTAGAATTTGTCCCGAGACAGAGAAGAGGTTGGGGTATGGTTTCATCATTGCTGCTGTTTCATTTGTAACATTTTGTCCTATGAGAAAAAAGCATGGACCGATGCCATGTATGTGCCTCCTGTGGTCACCCCATTAGCTAGATATTCCTCTAGAGTAGGTACATATCCCTTGTTGAACCATTTTGCTTCCACTAGATAAGCTTCGATGATGTCTATCCACTGCAAGAATAACAAATTTTCTCTCATTTTAATTCTCAGGTAAATGATGGATTTGAAAAAGAAAAATATAAGGAAATCTGTAGAAATTACTGTTCTCTTCAGGTATGGGACAGTGTTCCAGCCTTGTTCTTTGAGGACTCTGTAGCCAATATCATTGGTTGTGTTGTACAACGCCATGTAACATATCTTCATGTATTCTGGGAGCTGCTCCATTGCATTAAGATCCCATCTGTAATCCAACAAGACATGTTCAGTTTGTGTTTCTAAGGATAATTGCTGTTTAATTAAGGCATTAAAGAACAGAATGGATCTAATTAATAACTAACCTTCGAATCGCATCGGTGAACAGAATAAGGTCATCTAGAGAACCATAACTGTCGAAGACATCATCAAGAACTAGTAAAATCGCAATCATTTTCGTCAGCTCGATTCGGCAACTTGAATGATATGGTTCTGGAAATATTCCTACTGTCCATAGGAAACACTCCAATGGTCTGTCTCTAGCAAAACTCAACTTATCAACCAGACCTAATTGTTTCCACCACCTGAAACAAAAAAATCAAAATATAAACATTCTATTTTAGTCCTTATCGCGATGGATTACAATCATGCTGAAGCAGCATATGGGCTAGAACAATTTAATTACCTGATTATCTCAGTCAACTCAGTGTTGTGCTGTTGCTGAACCATATTAAAATCTAAACTCGCTAGTTGGAAAAGATCTGGATTAAAGTTGCTTTCTCTGCTATAACAGTTGATGTAGTTTCTAGCTTCCAGCCTTGCCATCCTCAAATGCCTTGGAAGTTTCAGGGCTTGAGCTACATAGTTTCTTGAGTTTGAAGTCATAAAAGGCATTAATCGTTGGAGACTTGTCCTGGTGAAGCTCATGGCTTGCAATAACATTTCTTCGTTCTTTGTGGCCAAATATGATGCCTCATGTAAACTTAACATGCCCCATCTGTCTTCAGCCAGGAATTCTATCAGTTTCCCTTCCCTGCTGATAAATTTTTGAAAAACATCTGTAAATGCAGAATAAGATATTAGTATCTTAAGGTAATTGGAATTGCATGAGCTATACTTCACTGCTTGTAAATTAAATTAAATTTCAAACAAGAAAAAACAAGAGATTGTTGTTTTACCTGAATTGGCAGGCTTGCCATTATGTCTCAACAACCTGAAACGAAGAGCAGTGACAAAGAGATCTTCTCTTGAATTCCAATCAGAAAACCTTTCAAGTTGTGTGTCGATTTCTTCTTCGAAATGATGCGAAATGCCTAGCCGTTGAATTGTATCGATTAAATTCAAAGTAGAAACTGGGTCAGAAGATTTTCTCAACACCATTTGGGTGCTTTCAACTAGTTCTTCCAAGGTTTTGGTACGATACTTTCTATCAGCATGACTAGGCAATAATACCTGCAAAAAAAAAAAAAAAAAACACCAATTAATCCGAACTTTTTTTCCCTAGATATGTACAAGTAGTAAAGTATCATCAAGTTAATTTTTACAATAACGAGACTAAATTTATTATTTTATAAGTTAAATCAATGTCAAAACATGTCTAATTTTTGATTGATCAAGTAGATATTTTTTTAGGCCAAACCGGTTAAAACTCAATATAACTATAGATAATTATGGCTAATTATTTTTAGACAACGAGAGTTGAATTTTAAGTTTGATAAAATCAAGATAATCTCTTTTTAACTAAACTACATTCTTGGTAGTCAGTTAATCCAAACTATAACAAAAGAGAAGAGACCGGAGAATAATTGATGAAATGATACATACTGTGTTATTTAAGTGGATGGATTTCAACAAGGAGTCTGTACTTGTAAGTGGTTTAGACAAAGGTTTTGACAATGACAACGGCGAAGGTGAAGGTGATGGTGATGGTAAAGGCCACGACGATAATTGGCAAGTGCAAGGCTGTGAATGAGCTCCCTTTGTGACTCCAAGTTGATCGGTTGGCCAAGCTGGCCACCGCGAAAATTTGGAAATGCTCCTAATTCCGGCCATGTGTACGTATTGATTGATTGATAGCTAGCTAGCTTCTGGTATTCCAATATTGGTTTTGGATACGTAGTGAGTTCGTTACGATGCATATATATAGATTTATCAACCAGTTATTTGCGTTGCCAAATGAATAGCATGTGAGTCTAATATTACAATATTTGGCAGCCACTTTGGACCAAAAATTAAAATAAAATAAAATAAAATAAACCTTCTTTGATTGCGTACCACCCCAAATATCCAAAAATATAATCAGTTGGATAGGAGAAATTATTGAAAATGGTGAGTAAATTATAAATTAGTCCTTCTAGTTTTTTGAAAAGAATTAATAGTCCCTCTAGTCTCAAAAAATAATTAATTAATGTTTATGTTTTTAAATCTATTTGTAATTCAATCCTTTTGTTATTTTCTAATTTATTTTTTATTTTTGGTTTTAAGAAATAGAAAAAAATATAGGCAAATTAATGAGAAAAAAAAGATATTTTTGGAAACAAAGTAATATTAAATTAATTATACTCAATATTGGAACAAAGAACTAATTAGTTAGCTATTTAATTTATTTTGCAGGACTAAAGGGACTAATTTATAATTTACTCCCAAAATGGCAGTTACACAAACAAGAAATTATGACAAGTTAATTTGGTCATCTATCAAATGACTTGTACAAATGTTTTGTGTTATATATGGTTTTGATATGACATACAATATTGTTTTAAATTTAATGACATCGAAGGAGTATTTACTAATACTTATTCCATAGAAGAGAGATAAATCAAAAAACAAAAAAATTCTAGTTGTTAATATTTTTATCCGTCTCTCTTATTCATAAAGTAAATATTATAAATTATTTTTTGAGTATTCTAAAAATTTTCTAATATTCTATAGTTTCAAACATGCAAAACCGCTAATGCACATCTCGATCAACTTGCTAGCTATTTCTACGCCGCCCGCACCCCCCAAACCCACCAACCCCTCCCCCGACGCCGGCGGAAAAAAAAATTGTTAGTTCATAATAATGCAAGAACAAGTTGCTGTGGCTTGCATAATTGAGCTTGGGCTTTGGATAGATAACGTCTTTGACTTACATGATTTTGAAGATGACATTAATTTATAGTACTGTTAGCAGTGGGTGCATGGTGGTCCTAGTTAATGTTTCTCTGTGTCCGTTAATTGAGGAAAGTCCAACGTTTGATGGATGAGATGTTCCTTTTGCTCCTGTCATGGGGAGAAGAATTCGGTTCTAGTTTAAATACTAAATCGAACCGAGATAATTTAGTTGAATGGATTCGGTTTGTATGGTTTTTGATTAAAATGTTCGATTTCTTTTTTCTTTTTTTCTCTTCGGTTTGGTTTGGTAAACCGAACCAACCAAGCCAACCGATTAGTTTCTTTATTTTTTTTTTAAAAGATTTTGAGACCGAATAAATCAAACATTTAAACTGTTATATCCATAAAAGATTGTACTTCGTGCAACAAAATTTTGAAAATATCTCATCTTATTTCCACATTTTTGTAATTTTCTTGTGTAAATTATGAAACGATACTAAAATAAAATCACAGAATATAAAACAATATTCGTAATTTTGAAAATATTTCATCGTATTTTGTTTTTTTTTAATTGTTACTCTATTATTGATCTCTATTCTTATTATAAACAAGTCATTACAGATTTATATTTGTAAAAAGTAACTATTTTTATCCAATTAACTATTTTTAAAATCTTTAATGTTTGCTAATTCACCTATCGAATATTTTTGTATTACATTTCGCCCGATCATCTTTCAAACCGACTATACTCGTCAAACTCATTCTTCTATCATGGCATGACCTCACTACATGTCATGTTATCCAAATTTAGGGAGAGTCGGGCTTGAAAGGTCATTAGTCGTAGTTCCAATTTAGCAGGAGGAGTTGGCTTAAATAGACCATTTCAAAATAATAATAATAATAATAATAATGGAAACAAAAAAGAAAAAGAAAATTAAGCTATTGACTAAAAACATTAATTTCTTTTCAATATTTTATATTACTTCCCTGTCTTAGCATTCCGTATTTCCATTACTCTTCTGAGGTTATAATTAAAAAAAAAATCATTAAAAAATTAATTAAATATTGGATAACATTTTATCTAACATGGAATTCCTAAACATATGTAAATATATTCATGGAGACTGAAAAAATCTGAGGAAATGAGATATTAAAACCTTTGAGTGACAAAATTTAATTATTGCATATTTATTTTGTGCAAAATAGTTAATATTAATTAACTCATGAACGTTGTTAGAAAAGATTATATAGTATAAAAAATAAAATTTCTACTTCACAAAAAGCATAAAATAATTACCAAAAAAGAAAAAGACTTCGTTGTTTGTGAACCAAGTATGACTCATCCAAAAAACACCTTTTCCAACGGTTTTTCTATCATTTAAAGGCGGCTATAATCGTCTTACGTATAATATCGATAGTGTTGCGTTTGCACAAAATATTTGAGGCGGTTTCAAACCTCCTTTGATTTCCCAAAATTTTTTAAATTTTAGCAAGGAGAAATGATTAGGCGCCGTTGCAACCGCCTCTAACTTTATAATAAAAAATTCAATTTATAAAGACGAGTTACACAACCTTATCTCATGTTTTAGTTTTATCAGCCCTCCAAATTTAATAATTCTACTCTAGTTTTTTTTTTTTTTTTTTTGTCAAAATTAATAAATTAAAAAAAAACATTACACATTAAATGAAAATAAAATAAGATTATATCACTTACACAGTATTATTAAATTTGTAATTATCAAATTCAAAATACATAAAGCTTGAAACATTCATAAG